GAGATCTCTGGGGTAAATTTTGTCCCCCCCCCCCCCCCAACCCCTCGCTTTCATCCAGTGCGATCTGATTTTCTAAGACCACATAGAATGAACTGCGATCCCTAGATGTCCTCTACAGTGACCCCTCAACGAGTCTGAACTGATAGGAGTGTGCTGGGAATCAGATCAATGTCCTGCGCTAAGGACACATTGCTGAACCCAAGACTGTCCCTGGAAGGAACCCCAGAATGACTATGAAAAGACCACCAGAGCTGTTCCTAGAAGGAACCCATGACTGTTCCTGGAAGGAACCCCAAAATGACCCTGAAAAGACCCTAGGACTGTTCCTGGAAAAAAAAAACCCAGAGTGACCCTGAAAAGACCCCCAGGACTATTCCTGGAAGGAACCCCAAAATGACACTGAAAAGACCCCCTGGACTGTTCCTGGAAAGAACCCCAAAATGACCCTGAAAAGACCCCCTGGACTGTTCCTGGAAGGAACCCCAGAGTGACCCTGCACTGTCCATGGAAGGAACCCCAAAACTGTTCCTGGAAGGAACCCCAGAGTGACCCTGCACTGTCCATGGAAGGAACCCCAAAACTGTTCCTTGAAGGAACCTCAGAGTGACCCTGCACTATCCGTGGAAGGAACCCCAAAATTGTTCCTGGAAGAAACCTGAGAAGCCCCTGAAAGGACACCCAGAACGGTCCCTGAGAGGACACCAGGAACTATGCCAGGCAGGACCACAACAAATGTCCCTGGGAAGAATTCCAAAATGACCATTAAAGGACGCTTAGTGGCCGTGGACGAAACCCCAGGACTGTCCCTGTAAGGAACCACCGTGACACTGGAAGACCCCCAGAACTGTTCCTGGAAGCACCCACAGTGACCCTGAAAAGACCCTCAGAGCGGTCCCTGGAAGGGAACCCCTGCTTCTACCATCACACTGGATCATTGTTGTGAAGCCTGGTATGACGTCACGCCCCCTCAGGCCCCGCCCCCCGCGGTTTCTGCACCTTACCGTCAGCGGGAGCTTCTTCCAGGCCGGCTCAGCATTCCGCCCGCAGCCTAGCAAGGGAAGCAGCCGCAGGTCTCTCGGGCCCGTCCCCAAAGCTCTCCACTCTTCTCGGGGCCCCGAAGCCGACCTCGGCACGCAGGCGCAGAGCGGGCCCCGCCCCCGTGACGACAAGAATGCATCTCCATGACGCTAACACGGCGCAGGGCTTGCTGGGAAACGTTAAATAACGCGTGAATTCTAGAAATAACGGGATTCCACTTCCATTGCGAATAAACGGTATTATCAATTCTATTACACTCGCCCTATTTCCAAACACTAGAGCTCTGCCGGGTCGGAGAGGCTTGGAACGCAAACCCAGGCGCCTGGCCTCGCGAGAACTTATAGCACTGGAAGTGTAGCTTTGTGTGAAATCTCGCGGGCGAAGGGGCGAGCAAGCGATAGCCTAGTTTTGGCGGAAGTCTCGCGAGAAGAGGCGTTCAGGCGACAGCTAAGCTTTTCCGGAGATCTCGCGAGAAGAGGTGCGTAGGTGACAGCCAAGCTTTGCCTGAAGTCTCGCAACTTCGCAAGAAGAGGCGTGCAGGTGACAGACTATGGCTGCAGCGCTGTGTCGTAGTGCCCAGGTGAGAAGGACACACAGGCAATGACAGCTGGTACTATGTGACCTGTCCCTGCTGAGTTCACACATACACCACTGTCACCACAATTCCAGGGTCACTGTCACATGACAAGATCAGATGCAACAAACAACCCTCCACCCCATTGTCTGCATGGGAGATGCAACAACACGACCCCATGAAAAAAACCTTTACATTAAGAGCACCCCTTCACATCAGAGCCCCCTTTACATTAGGAGCACCCCTTCATATCAGAGCCCCCTTTACATTAGGAGCACCCCTTCACATCAGAGCCCCCTTTACATTAGGAGCACCCCTTCATATCAGAGCCCCCTTTACATTAGGAGCACCCCTTCACATCAGGAGCTCCCCCTTTATATTAGGAGCACCCCTTCACATCAGAGCCCCCTTTACACCAGGAGCACCCCTTAACATCAGAGCCCCCTTTACATTAGGAGCACCCCTTCACATCAGAGCCCCCTTTACATTAGGTGCTCCCCCTTCACATCAGAATCCCCTTTACATTAGGAGCTCCCCCTTCACATCAGAATCCCCTATACACTAGGAGCGCCCCCTTCACATCAGAACTCCCTTTACATTAGGAGCCCTTCTTCACATTAGAACCCCCCTTTTATATCAGGAGCTGCAGCGTGGCTGAGGGTGAGAGGAGAATCGGGCTTGGATGGAGGAGAACTATTGTCCTATTCTGATTGCATCCCACCCTCCCTGGATTAGCATCATTCGTTTCCATGGCGCTGGTAAACATTTTGAGGCCCCCCTCAGGAAACTAGAAGGCACCCCAGAATGCCTTCTAGTTGAGAAAGGCTGTTGTAGGCTCTGGATGAGAAAGGCTGTTGTAGGCTTATGGCCTGTTCACAGTAGCTGCATGCTGAAGGAAAGGGAATCGGTCATGTCCATGTATGGAGACCGACACTGCTGACCTCTTCCTAAAATGCTTGTTGCCTGGCTGTCATGCTGATCCGTTATTTTCAGTACATTCTGAGTCTCTGAGCTGGGCCAAGAATGCAGATAAGGAGTACTGACCTTGCTGGAAATGATGATAACATGTCTCACTTTGTGTTTTTCAGCTCCTGGGCAGAGGGTTTCCTCGCTGCTTGGTCACAACTCAGAATGTCCATTGCCGATGGCGTTCCGCAAAAGCAGAGGCGTTGTCTCCGCACCTTGGAGGGGGCACCTCACTCCCTCCCCTGGCAACCTTCACAGAAGAGGAGACCATGATGAGAGACATGGGTATTTAGACAATGATTTGCTCCCACGCAGGGTGTCAGCTCCATTTGTCTGATTGTTAAAGAGCACCCGTCAGCTGTAATAAACATGATGCTCTCGGACAGAAGTAGGCAAACGTTGGTCCTCCAGCTGTGTTGAGAACTACAAATCTCAATTGGGCATTGCAAGACTTTGACAACCACGGGCCTGACTCCTAGAGCCAAAGGCATGATGGGATTCGTTCTTTCATCACAGCTGGAGGGCCGAAGATTGCCTACCACTATTCCAGGACAGGGGTCCTCTAGTCAGCGTGGAGGATCGGAGCGGGGAGGGAATCCCTGTGGGGAGCCGTGACTGACAGTCACCGCTCACTGCAGGGAGATGATCGAGAAGTGAGTGAGTGACGGTATGTGTTCGCTCACTTCCCGGTCTATTGAGCCGATGTGTGACAGTCTCATTGTCACACGTCGGCTCGTCCTATGAGGATTAGTGATTTTCACTCGCCTCATAGTTCTCCTTTAACCATCATTTTGGGAATCTGTTTGGAAGTTTGTTCTCTGGGGATCCTGCCAGTATTGGCACATTCTGCTGCAGCCTGACAATGCTAAGCCACTGCCATCCAATCAAAAGCCTGCCAAGTGCACTCCTTCAGTTAATCATTGGATTGCATAGCAGGTCTGTCAGTTGTTTCATGCAACAGGAGAGAAGTCATTCCAGTTATCCCATCTCTCAGAATCTGATTGCACTTTTGCAAAACACTCTGGGGGAATTTATCAAAACTGAAGCAGACAGAATCCGGAGCAGTGGCCCATAGTAACCCATCAACTTCTATCTGCAGTTTGTTAGAGAGAAGCTGATTGGTTGCTATGGGCAACGACTCCAGATTTCTCTGCTCCAGTTTTGATAAATCCCCCCTCACAGTTGTCATCTGTTTTCTGTGAATTAAACTGTACGTACTAAGCGTCTCTTTTTTCTTCTGCAGTGCGAAAATTTGCCCAAGATCGTATTGGCCCACTCGTAAAAACTATGGACGCCAACTCAAAAATGGATGACTCCGTCATTCAGGGCCTGTTTGAACTTGGGGTCGGTATGATTGTTTATTCTTTCATAGTGTATTTGACTTTGTTTCTGAGGAACAGATCTAGAGATTGTTGTATGGCTGATGAATGAAAATATAGTGCACTTTGTTAAAGGGGCTGCATCCCTCTTGTGAACAATGATTACTCAGGGGTGTGGACATTTAAAAAAAAAAAATTACTTGTCTGTGAACTAAAGCGGCGGCCCAATCTATCCAGATTTATTATGGAGGTAAATTTATATCTAAAGCGTTTTGGACCGGGTAGGGAAGGCCTGGAACCCCTGTGATTGCTGTGTGTGTTCCAGATGGGAAATTCGCCCCTCTATGCATCCTGGTAACCATTGTCTCTGGGACTGAAAGGGAGGGAGAATACAAAATTTGGAGTTGCCACCAGAACAAGAAATAGAGAGTAAATCTTCCAATGGGGACACTTCGGTGACAACTGTCTAAGTGGGCATTTCCCTCACTTTGGGGAGATTTCCTCTCACTTCCTGTTTTACCTATCAACGGGGGTCATATACTGTTAAAGTCAGCAGGACTGATTTCAGCTAATGCGTGGTCAGGGATTCATTTTCTCTATTTGTCCTGGTGATCATTATGATGGAGCGTGATAGCTGCTCATGTAAACAAAGGATACCGTTGTGTGTTTTTCATCATATTGAACCAATACATATCCCGATCTTCTACCTTTCAGCTAATGGGAATAGAGGTGGATCCTAAGTATGGCGGCACTGGAGCATCCTTTTTCTCAGCCATTCTGGTGATCGAGGAGCTGGCTAAAGTAGACCCATCCGTATGCATTGTATGTGACATCCAGAACACGCTCATCAACGCCTTGTTCACCAGACTGGGGACAGAGGAACAGAAAGATACCTACCTGCCCAGGTTGTGCAAGGACATGGTGAGAGCCTGCTGGTTATCTGGGCTATGGGAACTAGTCAGCTTTCAGATACAGACCACTGGAGGAACTTCCAACAATGATGACACAGCATTCTAAGTCGATGTTTACCGAGATTTCAAAACTCAATCTGTTAATTACCATATTGGGATACATTTCAATGAAAGAACAACTCCAGGTAAAAAATGTATTAACCCTTTCACTGGGGCTTCCCTCCACATTGCAAGGGTTAAGTGCTCGTTTTTGCCTAGGGTCAAAAATAACAAAGTTATAGTCACCCGATCCACAGCCAGCTGTGACAGTGCTCCCTCCTGCCTGTCTCCTCCTGCAGCAATAGTATGTCCCTCGGCATTCTCACATCCAATACAGTGTATAGAATGTGATGACTCGGGGACCTTAGACTGCTGCAGCAGAGGGGATGAGAGGCTCCAGGGACCAGTCTAAGAGCCAGCTCGGAGAATCAGGTGAGTATAACATCTTTATTTTTGACCCTAGGTAGACAAGAGCATGTAACCCTTACAGTGCCAGGCTAGCCCCATTGCAAGGGTTAATATATTTTTACCCAAAGTTCTGCTTTAAAATGTTTATTCTGTGTGGGGTTTTTTTGTTTTTAATGTGGTGCAAAGCGGAAGTCCTTTTTAAAAAAAAAAAAATGCTGGCAGGCTTATTATGACAGAAGAGACTCTATGTGTGGAAGCAGATTAATATGACAGGTTGGTTTGTTTTTGTCCTATAGGTAGTCTGTGTTTAGAAGTGTTCCAACTATGTAGACTGTCGCGCATGAAGCTGCATTTGTACATTCTTCACAGGTGGGCAGTTTCTGCCTTTCAGAAGCCGGTTCTGGCAGTGACGCTTTCTCCCTGAAGACCACGGCTCAGAAACACAAAGATCACTACGTGATCAATGGCTCCAAAATGTGGATCAGTAATTCCGAACAGGCTGGAGTCTTCCTCGTCATGGCCAACGCGAATGTCTCTGCAGTAAGTCTTCCGTCTCCTCTTTTATCTCTAGGTCGTAGATGTTGTACCCGCTCTTTTACAGTACAACCCGATTTAATTATTGGTGTACTGTCGAATGTTTACACAAGATAAGTTATTGCATTTTCACCCATCCAGACATTCAGTAAAGTCCTAATAAAAAAAAAAACACCATCAGAAAAATGTACTGATCAGCTCATACCACAGTATATAATAAAATGTATACAAATATAACTATCCAGATTCATTTGTTTTTGCTACAATAAATTAACCATTCAATTATGTTGATTTTATGAAGTGTCTGTTAATTTTTAGTAGGGTTGCACAGATACCAAGTACAGTACTCGGTACGAGTACATGTACCGATACTTCTGAGCTCCAAGACTAGACTAGAGAAAAATTCAA